TATTTCCTGGAGGATTTTCTGACTATGTGGAGACCTTCCTCTGTTTATCTGAACATTTTATGCAATTGATGCAGTGTTTTGGCATCTTGTCAAGTTGGCTATCTGAACTATGTGAATATGCCATGCTGCCAGCTTTCTTTTACCAGTGAACCTAACCTAGACCTGAAGGACCGTTTTGTACTTACAATAGGGAAATAAAGCTGAGAGGGTAGTATATACCCATTGTCCCAGCTACTTGGAAAGCTGAGGCAGGAGAATCACCTGAGCCTAGGAGTTTGAGGCCAGCCTAGGTAATACAGCAAGAGCCCATCTCTAAATAGAGAGTTGTCACAGTCACTCTCAGCTACCATATGTTCCCTTCATAAGGATACAAGTGTTTTAAACAATAGGTTTTCTTCTCTTTTATGAACACTGAATCTTTTAATTGGGTATGCTTCCTTCCCTGCCTTGGGCTAGGAAATTTCTGTGGAGGACTGTATGAGTCTTAATTCTGTAAGATGCTTTTTTCCCTGATTTTAATTTCTTAACCACCCTAACTCTGTTCCCTGAGTTCTTCAATTAATTCTATAGTAAAATCTGCTTTCTTTTTTAGCAAAAAGCTAAATATCTTATTTCATTGCTTACTAGTTCTGCCTTTCACAAACCACTAAAACAGGAATACAGCTCAGCTGAGTTGTATTCAGACCTCTCTCGATAAGGGTCATCTTTCCTCCAGCTTCTGCTAGCTACTCTTCATTTCCTTCTGAGACCGCATCAGAATGCCTTTAACCTCTGCATTTCCACAAGCGTTCTATTCATGATCACTTACATATTTTCTAAGAGATAGAGCTTCCTGTTTAAATACCTTTTTTCTGAGTTCTTACCAGACTTACCTCCATTCATGGCAATATTGTATCAACTTCTAGCATGAACTTCAAAACTCTTGTAAAAACAAAACCCAAAAAACACACTCACAGCCCATACCCAAGACCCAGTTCCAAAGCCTCTTTCACACTTTCAAGTGTTTGCTACTTCACCCTCCTTCCTGGTATTAATTTATCTTAATCATTGGGGGTGCTAAAACAAATTACCTCCTAAGGGCCAGGGAGATAGCTCAGTAGAATAAGTGCTTGTCTGGCAAGCATAAGGTCCTGAGTTCAATCCCTAGTACTGAAAAAAAAAAAAAAAAAAAAAATTGCCTTGAGCAAGGTGGCTTAAAAAACATTTTGTTCACAGTTCTCAGGGCTGGGAAGTCAAGATCAAGATGCCAGTAGCTCCAGTATCTGATGAGAAGTCTCTTCCTAGTTTATAGAGAGCCCCCTTCTCACTGTACCCTCCTGTGGCCAAGAGTAGGTTCTTAGGTCTCTTTTATGAGGATACCTTCATGGCTACTCCCCTTCCAGAGGCTTACCTCCTCATAGCTTCACCTAAAGGGTTAGATTGCAGCATATGAATGGAGGAGGGGAGTGGACACAAACTTTCAGTCCATAACCTGTGTGCTAGGCATGTCACACTTGTCACCTATCTCTTCACAGCAAGCTATGAAGTCAAAAAGTAACCTCTACTTTTTTAAATTAATTTTATTGAGAAACAAATAGCAATGAGACAGTTTCAAAACAGGTTAGTAGGACAGTTACAAGAATTAATACATTGCATATTGTTGTCTTCTTAGTAGTTATTCATAGTACAAGATGCAAACATGATATCCTGTCCAAACACTGTTACTACAAATCTTTCTTCTTGTTGAATTAAGAGAAAGTAGCTGTATATCTATCCTAACTATTTTGTATATACAGATACAAAATGGTCCTTCATTTATATCCCCCAGCAGACAAGGCGCATAGGACCGTGGTTTGATTCCCAGCTCCAGAAGCTGTACTACACCTGCCCTTAAGGCAGCCTGAAGTAGCAAAAAAAAAAAAAA